TGCCCTTCAAATCCTCACTTTTTGCTCTTCACTACTTGGAAACTCATTTTACTAAAAAATATTTACAAGAAAATTATGAGCAGGTCAAAATCAATTTATAAAATAAGTATAAACAAATGTTGCAAAATTTATGCCACAGTTCTGCCACTTGTGGCCTTTTTTGCAGGGAGTAAAAGAGGAAGTGTAGTGATGGAAATCAAAGATGCCATGTTAGGACAGGAGCCCACGGGCTAAGGGTCCAATAGCAGTAACACTGCTACAAACCTGGCCTGAAAGAGATAGAACTTGGTAATAATTTCTGTGCTATGGTAATCTTGAAAAAAATCTCTTAATAAATTCAACTTTGATCCCCTAACATCTTTTTTTTAACTGGAACTTTCATATACTAAATCTGTAAATGAATGTATATTAAGACCCACTTAAAAATCATATACAACAGTAATTTGGCTTTAGCCCCCAAATTTAGAATTTTTATCTTAAGAACTTTTAAAACTCAACTTCTATGAAATCAACACTTTGGCTCTTCTATGTGTGTATCTCTAGAATACTACAGAGCGCAATAGGAAAAAAGGGTTATTTGACCATATTATTGAAATACAGGAAACACCTCTGCTTTGAATGATTTCAATAGATAATGGAGTCAATGAGCATTTATTTAAACAGATTAAATATCTATTTGCCTATGCTTTTGTCTCTGGCCTTTTTTTCTTAGCTTTACTAATTTGTTAGCTCACTTTTTTTTTTTTTTCTCTGATTTCAGGTTTACCTATATGCTGACAAATCCTGTAACATTAACCTCAGCCAACTGCTTTTTCCTGAACTTTAGGCCTGTGAGCACAATTAACTAAGGGACCTTCTTAATTAAGGGACTGAATGAATTCATTCAGTCATTCATTTACCCCCCAAGTTTTTGAGCCTCTGCTGTGTGTTACAGAGCATTCTTAGCATTAGAATGAACCTAACAGACAATAGTCTCTGTCCTTATGGAGCTTACATGATAGACATATAAGAAAACTAAATGAAATAAACATTATAGAAAATAATAAGATAAAGAAGGGCTTGGAAGGAAATCTTGGAGAAGTTATCTTTTTTTTTTTTTAAAGACTAGCTTGGAAGACCTGAGATGACATTTTAGCAAAAACCTGAAGGGAGTGAGGATGTGAGCATCCAAGAGCATTTTAGATGTCCTGCAGCCACCTTCTAGATTCAAAACTGAACTGTTTTTCTGTGCAAGCTAGCCTTTCTTCCTAGATTTCCTGTTTTTGTTTTAATTTTGCCATTATTGCTCTTACATTAAAAAAAAAAAAAAAAGTTTGACTTACCCCTACAGTCTACTCTTCAATTCTGAACAACTGCAGCCCATGTCCTTTTGATACTATCTCTTCATATTGCCTACTGACTTCTTTTCCTTCCTTATTTCACAGTATTTGTTACTGTCCTTGTTCACACCAACATTGTTTTCCCTGGGGATTTTTCTACTCTGCATTCTCTTAACCAGTCTTCTTGCCTCTTCCAATTCATCCTTGATACTGCTGAACAGTTACATTTCTGAAATGCAAAGTTTACCATACCATTCTCCCGCCTAAACCTGTCAGTGGTTTCTCATTGTTGTCAAACCCACTCTTTATTGTGGCATGGAGGGTCGAATGTGATTAGCACACTTACCCTTCTCCTCCTTCTGATAACCTCTCCAGGTTTCTTCTCACTATTTTACGTAAAGTTACTGGCTCTAGTTCTATAAAGTTCATCCTGAAAGTGACCCCTTCCAACACTGTGCCCTCTTACAGTTTCTATGTTACTTTTGTAACAGTGATTTGTTTACATGTTGTCTTTCCTAAACCCAGCTAAGTGCTTGGATCAAAGTAGGCACTAAAAACAAATGGATAAAATTAAATGTATCACCCTCAATGACTGGTGTAATATAAATATAGATGCTCCATTTCTAAGCTCTGACCATAGGCAAAAGGGTTTCTTTCTCCTCAAACTCTCAGAATCACCTCAGAAACCCCTATTCAACATGCAATTCAACATATTCTGGAACTGAACACAAACATTCAATCTTATTTGCTTGGGAAACCATTGGATTTAAAAGCACAATGCTTCTTTCCCAACTAACAGCTTTACTTTGGGGAATTCACATATATATAATTCATCTGTGTACTTTTATTTTTAGCAATGAAGAATATTTCAGTTCCAGAAATACATGAATTGCAGAAATTATGAGTCACTTTTGTTAAAGATAATTAGAGGTTAAGAGAACTGGTCACAGGGATTAAAAAAGGAAAATAAAATTAATAACAGAAAATAGGTAGAGATAAAGGAAAATTAGCTTTACAAAGCTACTCTAATGACATCTGGGAGGGAAAAGATCCAACTTGCATGTAAGAGGGTAATGAAAATGAAATCCAGAATCAATAATCCAGACATAAAATTAGCAAAATACTTAACATATAAATGGGGGACCAGGAATAGCAGAATAAATATATATATATATATATATATATATATATATATATATATCTCATATCTAGAGTAAAATGAAACATTCTGCACACTTCTTATTTATTGTGTCCAGGAGGGGCAGCAAATCTTTGCTTGTAAGTGCCTGATGGTAAAAGGAAATTTACAGTACAAAATTTCATTGAGAGGTATGTTTCCATTTGTAACCAGTTATTCCCTGTTAATGAACAGCAATTAGAATTAAACTACTATATATGATTTCCAAGACTTATCATTCATTTTGCTTTTTAGAGAATAGTAACAAATAAATTATAATTTTTAAATTCTATATGCTATCACTACTTTTTTCACTTCTACAAAGCCTGTTTATTTTATTACAATAAACAAAAAAGTTTTACTGCTTACTACATATACTATCACTATTTTGATAGTTCACCCTATACGTATATGTTTATATTCTTGATAATGGTATAAAATGTAAATTTTAAAAAACAGAAATTTTTGAAGATATTTTAAGCACTTTACAGACAAAAATATATGCTTTTATTTTGAAAAGTCTTATTGATAGTTAGGCTGAATATTGGCCAATTAACTCTCTTGAAAGACCTTGAAACTCAAATGTTTTAAAAACAAAAACAAAAACAAAACAAAACAAAATTCAAATGTTTTTCTCCGTATCTGGCAACCCCAGCCATAGATTTATTAGCACAGGGAGAATAAACTATTGCCTATGTTTATCAGATTGTATTATACACAGTAATCAACTGGAGATGTTAAAATACAGATTGAAACTCACAAGGTCCAGAGTAGGTCCTGGACTCTATTTTCCCACAAGCTCTCAGGGTCCTGGGTCCAGTCTGCTGGTGGTCCATAGACCAATAGCAAGACATGAATCAATGGTTCTCAGCATTGATACCCAATGGAATCACCTGGGGATTAAATCAAAACAAAACAAAACACAACAAAACAAAACATCACTTCTAGGGTAAAGGTTATTTAGCCTGGGATCCAGTCTGGGTATTGAGTTTCAAAAGCTCTCAAGGTCAGGCTAACAACCAGCTAGTTTGAGAACCTATGACCTAAAATGTATTGGTCAGATTTATGGGTAGGTTTTATTTCTCCTGATTTCTATCATTATAGATAAGAGACCTAGGAATAACCAATACTGCATAGATTATGAGAGTAATATATGCCCCAAATCTTTAAATTCTTACTGAGAATATGAGTCATTATCAATCAGACATTAAATAAGACGTTAAAAGTCTTAGCAATTTCTTTCTATACTACCAAATGATTCAGTAACATGTTTTTCATATATTTTAAAGTGAAATATCCACTGACATAATCACAATCCAAATTATTTTTAGATTAGGAGGTAGATATGTAACAATGTAATTTTAAAGTACATGGAGTGTCTCTTCCTAATTACAGATAAAAAAAAAAAAAAAAAAAAGCTCACATTAGTGAGAAATTATGAAAAAATCCCAACCTGGGATCTATCCCAGGAGAAAGGCCCAGAGACAAAAAGGACAAGCAACAATTTACTTAGTATCTGTACTTGAAGTAGATACCCATCAGTTGCAAACTGAATTATCATCTTTTCTTTATAGTGACTTTCCTAATTATTTTGCTAAGGCTGAGGTTGGTAAAAGGTCAGGATGCAATTACACTCCAGGGCCCTTCCTAATTCTTAAAAATGGGCATCAAAGATACTTCATGAAAATAATACTTTAAAGTCAGGTATTTGCAGAAATTCCATCATTACAGTAAAAAGTATTGGACTACAAGTCAGCTACCACATACTACTAAAGATGTGACTTAACCAAACTTTCTGAACAGGTGTTCTCACCCCAACTTAAGGTCTAGGGAAAGTCCAATAAGAATGTGGAAGCACAGACTAATGCCACATAGAAATATAAGACAGCACTATGCATATTTATGATAAGCCAACTAAATAGTGTGGTAGTGCAAAGAAATGGGAGTCTAGACTGGGGACTACTTTCAGCTTTGGCAGTAATTAGCCACATAACAAGTAAATCACACACTTTAATTGCATTTTAAAAATAAAAATACTTCAAATAGCTTATCTTCAAATCCCTAGCAGGTCAAAGCTCTATGATCCCAAAGTAACTACGTGGTCCTCCAAAGCAAATATTAATTGTAACAACAACAACAACAAAAATTCACCAAGAGCTTAACAAGTTTCTTAAGAAAAATACAATTTTAAATTTGTTTTCTAGAAAAGTCTACAATTATTTGGCCATCACTTAAAATAGCAAATTTAAAACTTAAAAAAGTGCAGAAAGGGATCATTAAACAGCGCAAGAACACTATGTAGAATTAAGATAAACAGTGTAACTGAGGATAATGAAATACCAAACAGCTTTTCCTAAAGGACAAGGGAAAAACATCTGGGATTTTATGATCTATCCCAAAGAATATATAGGTACTCTTATTAAATACACAAAATGCTTTTTGAGTACTGCAAATAACTCACAGTTTCTATATAAATTATCCTATTTAATAAAGATGGTAGTACGTGGAAATTATTTCCTTTTAATTTATTGTTTGGTTTGAATACATGTCCTGCCAATCACACAATACCTAGTGTGACCAAAGACATGAGAAATTCCTGTAAGAATCACAAAGTGCCTTGCAGCTTTCTGCCAGGATGCTAAGGAAATGTAACAATGGAGACACAGATTGTCTAAGTTAGAAGTTCCAATCATTAATCTTCCTCAGAACTGGAATCATCCTCTTGGTCAGAGAGTTCAGGGACAGGGAAGCGGAGAATGGCAGCCACTCCAGTCAACTGACTGAGCTGTTCTCCAGATACATGAAGACTAGAGAATATCCTAACAGTGCCCGCATTCTCTTTCACACTGTCCACCAGCTTCACATATCGGCTCCGTGTGGCTACATCCTGGTGCCTGAAAAGCTCATCACTGATGAGCAATGTGTCGATTGCCATAGCCTCATTGGCCTTCTCTACCTGCTTGAGTCCATAAAAAGCTCGGTCAGGTTCATGTTGTAACATTTTATAGAAGTCATCCAAAGCCTTTACTTCCCCAGCGGCTTTAGTGTCTGAAAGGCGGCTAGCTACAGAAGGGTCACAAAGGGCCTCTTTCAGGGAGTACTTGTGTCCAGAGGAGGCATGTACCTGGAATCACAATTATGAAAGTTAGGCAAAACAATCTTAGAGTACCCATTCATTAGCCTGCAATGACCTAAAGCCAAAAGCACTAATAAAACTTTATTAAGTTTGAGAACTTAAAGCAAAGTTTACTATGTAAATACCCTATTTAACAATTCTCTTTTTCATTTCATTAGCTCGCTTACAATCACAGTCCAGTAAACACTTTCTCCTCTTGTACTTTTCCCAGTCCTAAAACCTAAGAGTAGTTTATACAAATCCCTCTGCCCATTCTTAATTACCCTTGGATAAGACTGTTTTACCTGAAGGAATTTGGACCGGTTTTCCAGGAGCACTTTGTTGTCGGTCTTCACTGCTTGTTGAAACATGTAGTCGCAGAACTGCTCCCTCACGAATCCTGGGCTGGCCACCAGGATGCACTTCACAACATCAAAGTTTATGTGGCGCTGGATACCCTGGACCACCTGTTCGTAGAATCGCTCCAAGGCCCGGTCATGCTGGGAACAGTTGCCTTTCCGTTTCCTAGGGATGTTCACCTCCACCTTGGCCCGAGTGAGGGTCATGCTGGGAGTGACTAAGCAGATATGGGCGAGGCCTTCCTGCATGACCACAGCCGCCACATCTGCGCTCCAGGCTGGGTCACAGGCCTGCTCGATGCGCTCCAGAACCACACTGTCCCACTGTTTCTTGGCCAGCGTGAACTGGCGGTTGGGCTCCAGCTCGATGGTGTGGTAAGCCCCCATCTTGACATACTCATTCTCTTGGATGTTGGTCCCCTTAACCCGCAGCTGGCAGGCTTGAGAGTCAAAATCGATGGCCTCCACGCAGAGAGTGAGAGTAGTGCGGACCCGGTTGCTTCCTACGCTGCCCGTGGAGGACTCAGTCTGTACCTTGCGGATGGTGGAGGCACGCAAGCTGTCGCCCACCTGCACTAGATTGTAGGTGTGCCACATGTCCTCAGGTTCTTCGGGGACCAGGGTCACCTGGCCCGCATTGTCTTTCTCAATGTCCTTCCTCACGAGCTTCATGACTTTGGCGGGGATTCGCAGGCAGAACAAGAGGAAATGAGGGGGTACCCGGTGGGAAAGGGGCAGGGAGGGAAAGGGAGTCTAGGCCGGGAAGGGGGCGGGGTCTGGTCCCTATAGCCACTGGCCTGACGGGAAGGAAATACTATAGCACCGACTCGAGCGGCCGAGGGGAACACTTACTCTAGCCCTTCTTTTCTTAGTTTCCGGGCGCACGTCACCACACCCGCGCGAGAGACACCGCAGCAAACGCAGTCTTCTCGGTTCCAGCCGCCAGCACGGACCCAGCAGCTGATGCAATGAGCGCGCATGCGTAGCCCGCGTCCCGCCTCCCGGCGCACGTTTTACGTCCCCAAAGAGGAGGCGTGGTGGGGGTGGGGAATCACAGTTCGCGCGGGCGCAGGCGCACTAAGCGTGAAGCGCGTCCGAGGACTAAACCGACGGAGGAACGTGGTTGGAATCTTTGGTGGCAGGTCGTTTAATGCTGAACTTGGACCTCCTAAGTTTTCTTCTCCACAACTGTTTGTGCAGAATCTGAGGAATATGTAGTTCAAATTATTTTTTTCAGCTGCGTGCAACTGCCACTGAACACCTTCTCTTCCCCGGGTAAATCCAGTGTTAAAACTTAACTAAAAGTAAAAGGAATTCTCAAAAGTGCAGACTTGGCCACACAGTCCTAAAATGTGCTCGGCTTTGCACCTGCCTTATCCGCACTCAAGCGCTGCACGCCTTTTGGAGCTGGTATTTCCAGAAGCGGTTTCTAAGAACGACTGGTCACGGTGCGTGTGGGCTCAGAGCAACGTGCCCAGCTGTTTTCTGCGCTTAGTTACCGTGTCTGCATGATCTGACTAACCCAGATGTTAAAGCACTGACCCCACACAGAGAAGAAACCATCCGTGGAATTTGCCCCTGGGTGGACCTCTCAGTTGCTTGTCCCGATGTCCTGGGAATCCCAGATTCCAAAATTGGCAGTCTCCGCTTTCTGCAGCTCAATAGCCCCTGAAATGTTTAGGTTAGGGATTGGGTCGCAAAAGCTTAGGGCGGGATCATCACTGCCAAAGCTGAGAATATGGGAAGTGGGGAAAATCTGATGTAGTAGGACCAACACGACCGAAAGGCTATGGAATTTATTTTAAAGAAAATCCTTAAGTCACACAGCATTTTTATGGTGTGGGGGTGTTGAGAATTGGGGACTGCTTCTTAACAAGATCAGTAAATAGAAAAAGCCCATCAGATTTTCTTGAGGGTTAAGATGGGGTGGAGAGCAGAGGAGTCCTACCATGTATCTTCCCATTCTCTTTCTTGTGTATGGTACTGAAAGGGAAGCTTGAACTGGTGAGACCAGGATGAAAGAGAGAAATCTGACTCTGGCACAAGTCTTGAATTTCACATCTCAATTATTTTCCTCAGAGATTCTAAGGGGACACAAAATTCCCCTCTACAGCTCTAGTACAAATTAGAGTCATTGTTTTTGTGGCCTCTCCTCTTCCTCTCGGTTCTTAACCTCCTTTCCCTCTTCCTTTCATAGTGAGTGCCCTCACAGTTTCTAACTCAGACTTCCTTCTTCCACTTCCAAGTAAACCCAGTGACTTTTGAGTAAGGAACTGATGACACTAAAGTGTAAAGATGGCTTGCCTCTCTCCAACGGAGATTTCCTGACTAGGAGAGAGATAAATACTTTGAGTTGCTCCTTGATCACCTTTCTAAGTACAATTTACCTCTCTCTAAAGTCTGCCAAAGATTAAAAACCACAGAATCACAGTGGCAGGCATACCGTAGGACCTTAATAAATGTTAAGTTTTTAATGAAGAGCTATCATTTATTGAATATTCACCAGGTACTTTCCTATATACTCTTCTAATCTTCATCTACAAATATTTGTTATCCTCATTTTGTATATTAAGAAAATGAATTACAGAGACATAAAGAAATGTATTCAAGATCACATAACCAGCTTTTAAATTCAGACATGCTTAACTCTCCATCCTCTCCTCTGTTCAGTGGTACAAGATTATGTATATTATGGATGCTTGAAATCTCTGCAACCATAAGTTATGTGCTGTCATCCACTGCCACTTCCCCTTAATTGTCACCTTTACCAGTTAAAGACCCACAGCTTAGGAAACAACTGAGAGGATTTGAAAGGCATCAGTCCCTTCCTTGCTTCTATTACTAAAAAAAAAAAAAAAAATCTTTATATTCTTCTGCTCAACATACTTTTACTTCTGCCCAGCCTAGGTCACCATTATAATCCTTGAGAAAAATCCAGTGTTCTACTTAAGGAAAATACGCATATATTTCTACATTTAAAAACTGTAGGAAACCCACACTGACTGCTAATTCTGTGGTTATTTTAAAGAGTTTATTTAAATTATGAGGCAAACTGCTTTGGGGTGTCTTTTTAAACATAAACTTGCTTCAGTGAACATACTACAAAATTTTTCATAGAATTACTATTTGATCTGAAATAGAATTATTTTTTAGTAACTGGAGCTTACTTTTGAATGATCAGATGTTTTCTCACAGGCTTTGTGTTGTAACTTAGTATTTCCAGATTAATCATTACATTTTTATTTTGAATTATTTAGAATTCTCATTCCCTACTAATTAAAATCCAATTCTGTGATGTTCAGGGCCTCCATGATTTGGCTTTACAAGCTTTATTTTCCACTTGCCCCCTCCAGCACCCTATATTCCACCACAGGAGTAATTTTTGTTCCCCATACATCCTGGGAACTGTCTACTTTGCTGCCCTTAACTCATGATGTTCTCTATTTAAAATGTCACTGCTTCTCAGTCCTTCCTCCATAAGTACTACTTCTTTTTTAAGCCCAGCTTAAATGTTTCCTCACATTTGAAAACCTGCATATGTAAATATTTTTAATATTTTTTAAATGTTTATTTATCTTTGAGAGAGAGACCGAGTGTAAGTGGGGGAGGGGCAGAGAGGGAAATACAGAATCCAAAGCAGGCTCCAGGCTCTGGGCTGTCTGCACAGAGGCTGAAGTGGGTCTTGAACCCTCGAACCGAGACATCATGACCCGAGCTGAAGTCGGACGCTCAACCGACTGAGTCACCCAGGCGCCCCTGAAACCATGTATATAGTAATTGGAATACCTATCTTTTCTTTCTTGTTGAACTCTGAGTAGATTAATCCTTTTACTCCTCCACTGACCCTTGAAAAGTCCCTGGCACATAGTAGGCACTTATACATGGATAATAACCTGAGTGTATCAGATGTGAAGTGTGGCAGCTATATGAACATTATCACAGACAGTTCTTAAGGCATGATATTGTAATTAACGATAGTTCACTTAACCTAATAATGGTATATAAAAAGTAATTCCTCTTATTTTAAAGCTGTTGTAGTTACAGCAGTTAAGTAATATATAGCAGTATATGGTATTTTCATTTTTTTACCAAAATATGCAAAATCATGAGAAAAAAACATTTACCTTTGTTACTTTAAATTCTAATTTTATATTTATTGGCTTTTTGAAAATAGAAACCTTTATATCAGCAACTTTATATCTATTTTTTCTATTTATATTAATCTCTCTAGAATAAAAAAAAGTTTTCAATTTGTTGTTTTTGATGTAATTCCGGTGTCTCAGAAAGAGAACTGGGCTAGAAGTCAAACATCCTGGATTGTAATTATTACCCTGTAAATTGTTTTTACTCTTAACTTTTGGCAGCCCTCAGTGTCTTAGAAACTCAAGTTTCTTTTTCTTAAGAATTGAGGGCATTGAATTCAATAATTAAAATTGTCTTAATTGTAAAGACTATGCTGCAAAAATGTTTAAAAAACTGAAACAGTACTCATAATCTCACTCTATCACATTTATATTCATTTTTGCATAGTACCTTTTGAATTTGATTCTTTCTAAGGCCCACTGTAGTGGTAAAAGATCGATACCAAGTTTAATCCTTGCACACCAAGAGTTGGCAGACAGGAGTCATGATCTTTCTAGTAGGTTATAACAACTTTAGATAAGGCCCCTAACTTACAAACCTGAACTTTTCAGTCTAAATTGTAAGTAAGATTATTGGTCCTGACTCTCTTATTTGATAACCCTTATAAGATTCTAATGAGATTATGACACTTGTTAACTGTAGAGTTGTATAAACATGTGAGATATATGGTAAATCTCCAAGAATGCCTGACCTGAAGCTAGAAATCTGGATCAGACATAGCAAGGATCAAGGGCTCACTTTAACATGATCATACTCAGTCTTGGAAAAATAACTGGTTCGGTAAAGCTGACTGATGAATAATCTATTGGGTACCACTATTTATACTAGTATCCCTTCTGCAGGGAAACCTTAGGTCAGTCCTACTGCATGAGTTCATGCACTTCATTGGTGAATTGGATTACAGTCCTTCTTCCCATTATAATAGTATGTTAGAATGCTAGAAATGGTTTGTATGACAGCTGCAGGGCTAATGGGCTCCTGAGGATGGATTTCTTATTTGGATACACTGGGCTTAGCACAGTATAGGGGCTGTATAATTGTTCTTGTTTCTTGTATTTTTTTGTTTGCAAGACTTAACTTTTTTCTTTTTTTAAATGTTTATTTTTAAGAGAGAGAGAGAAAGAGAAGGGGGGGGGGTGGGCGAGGGAAGGCAGAGAGAGAGAGAGAGAGAGAGAGAGAGAGACACAGAACCTGAAGCAGGCTCCACTCTTGGTTCGAGCTTACAGCAGTAAACCCAATGAGGGGCTCCAACTCACAAGCCATGAGATCATGACCTGAGCCAAAGTTGGACACTTAACCAAGACTAAGCCACCAGGCATCCCAAGACTTAACTTCCCTGCAATACCTACTAATTTTTTTCCTTCCTCTGCTTACAGCACCATGGAGGCTCTTCCCATCATTGCTTCCTTGCTTGTCTATTGCCTTTTTCAGAGTGTGAACTTCTTTAAGGAGACTACCTTTTATTTGCCTGTGTTCCTGAAACTCAGCACAGCAACTGTTACATAATCATAGTTATTATATGAAAGAATATGTGATCGTTAGTTCTCCTTTAATACAGAGTTTTTAACTTGTCTATCTTTGGTGTCTTAAAATTATGAAAACATTCTGTTTTATAATGTCACTATAATTTTAAAGAGAAGATTATTCTTAAGGTAAGTTTCTAAAAACCTATTTCAATTTTTGAGATACCCATGCTTCGGTAAGAAAATGATTATTTTAAACACATCATACTGAGGAAAAGATCTTAAAATGTAAATAATATATAATAACAGTTTTATTATGCATGTTTAGAAAATGATCTTTGCAGAGTAAACCAGAG